ATGTAATCTACAGATTCACAGCATTCCCTATCAAATTCCCAATGACTTTCTAGCAGAAATGGAAAAGCTTATCCTCAAATTCATATGAAATTGCAAAGATTCCCTACAGCCAAATATGTTAAAAAACAAAGTTGGAGGTCTTTTACTTCTGAATTCCAAAACTTACTACAAAGCTACCATTACCAAAATACTGTGAAACAAGCACAAAGCTAGTCACACACCAATGGAATAGAACTGAGACTCCAGACACACAAACACACATTTATGGCCAAGAGACTTAGGTGAAAGTGTCAAACTCAATGAGAAAATAATAGTCCCTTCAACAAAGGATGCTGGGTCAACTGAATTCATACATGTAATCATAATCATCATCAACATCATCATCATCCAGGTCTGCCATATGCCTGACAGTAAGTCAGCCACTTGAGCCATCGCTATTGCCTCCCAGTGCCTGCATTAACAGATAGCTGGAGTCAGGAGATGGAGTCAGGTATCAAACCCAGGTATTCTGATATGGGACATGGGCACCTTAACTGACAGGCTAAACACCTGTCCCTGAACAACTGATTTTTGCAAAGGTGCAAAAGGAGAATTCAGCATATAACATTACTGGTTATTTATGAGCAAAAAACTACCTTCCATCCATACATTATACCACACAAAAGAATTAACTCACTGGCAGGTATTGTGGTACAGCAGATTAAATAGCCACTTGAAATGCCTGCATCCCATGTGGGAGTGCTGGTACCTCTGCTTCAGATTCAGCTTCCTGTTAATGCATCCTGGAAGGCAGCAGCAGCAATGGCTCAAGTGCTTGAGTCCCTGTCACCCACGTGGGAGACCTCAAAGAAGTTTCTAGGCTCCTGACTTTGGCCTGGCACAGCCCTGGCTGTGGGAATTTGGGAATTGAACCAGCAGATGAAAGATCTCTCTCTCTTCTCTCACTTTGCCTTTCAAATAAATATCTTTTAAAAAAATGTATTTGCAAAACATCTGATAAGGGACTTACATCCCTCAATTACAAGAAAATAACCCAACAAGAAAATAGGCAAAAGATATGAACAGATACTTTGTCAAAGGGGATAAAAATGTTGTATCACTAGCCAAAGGAGGTACAAATTAAAACCACAGTGATATACTACTAGACCTATCAGAAGGGCTAAAATCAAACAAGTGACAGTGAAGATGTGGATGAACTAGATTTCTTGCTAAATAAGGTAGGAAAAATATCATCAATTGATTTCCCCTGTACATGAGCCATTCTCCCTGTGATTGTCGGTAGCATCTAAGAATCTGAAGCCATGAGTATCATGGAACTAAGCTAAAAGGAAATACCAAAACATTAAAATGAAATCAAGTCATGGGGGCTGCAGAACACAGCACTTGGACGTAGTACTAGCCTGAAACTTCAAGTAGGAAAAACACATATTTGGGGGTACTGGGATATGATATGAACATGTGAGGGGTTTCTAACTAGTTCATGAGAAATGTATATTATGAAAAAAAATACAGATTTCAATTTTTTGCTTCAGAATAATTCCTTTTTTAAAAAATATTTATGTATTTGAAAGTCAAAGTCACACAGAGGAGGAGACAGATAAAAAGTTCTTCCAACTGCTGGTTCACTCCCCAAATGGTCACAATGGCCAGGGCTAGACCAAGCTGAAGCCAGCAGTCAAGAGCTTCTTCCAGGCCATTCTCTACTTAGGCCATCTCTGCTGCTTTCCCAGGCACATTAGCAGGGAGTTGGATCTGAAACAGTGCAGCCAGGACTCAAACCGGTGCTCATATGGGCTGCCAGCACTGCAGGTGGAGGTTTAACCTTCTACACCACAGCACCAGTCCCATAGCTAATATTTATTAAGGGCTTAACTAGATTCCAGGTTGTAGCAACCCCACAATCCTAACATGTAAATACTACAACTAATTAGGAAAGACTGTGCAACTTATTCAATATTACACAAGTAATAAAGGTGGAAACTGAGATTCCAAGCACGCTCACCTAATCACTATGCTAATAGTGTTTCCACCTGCAAGTTTTTCATTCTGTAAAGCATAGGAATACAATGAAAAAAAAATTAAGGACAGCAGTAATGACCTTATTTACATGCCTAATCTGACAAACCAGATGAAGCAAACAGAAGCAAGCCTGCAATGTGAACAGCTGGCAGAAAGCTTTCAGGAAGTAGTGGAAGATTACTGACATGGTACTGAGCAACTTGCTCAAGAGTAAAGATCATACTACTCTGTACAGGAAGTTTGTAAATTTCTGTACACTGTGCTATGAAAAATCTGATTGCTTTAATTTTAGAATCTCATAACGTTTTACTTACATTAAAAGTTGTAAGACCTTTCTCTCTGTCACTGTCCACTCTGCCTGTCAAAAAATAAAAAAAAAAAAAGAAAGAAAAGAAAAGAAAAAAAAAGTTGTCTATCTTTAGGTGAAAAAAATTGGCAATGTGTAGGGTAACATAAACAAAGGTCTCAAAGGGGATGGTCAAAGACTGGTTCAAATATGCTCAAGAAATGATCAAACGAATGCAGGAGTGGATAAAAACCTAAACCTGGGGGCCGGAGCTGCGACTCACTTGGTTAATCCTCCGGCTGCAGTGCCGGCATCTCATATGGGCGCCGGTTCTAGTCCTGGTTGCTTCTCTTCCAGTCTAGCTCTCTGCTGTGGCCCAGGAAGGCAGTGGAGGTTGGCCCAAGTGCTTGGGCCCTGCACCCGCATGGGAGACCAGGAGAGGCACCTGGCTCCTGGTTTTGGATCAGCGTGGTGCGACGGCTGCAGCGGCCATTTGGGGGGTGAACCAACAGGAAAAGGGAGCCCTTTCTCTGTCTCTCTCTCTCACTGTCCACTCTGCCTGTCAATAAATAAATAAATAAATAAATAAAGCAAACAAAAAACCCCTAAATCTGTACTGAGTAAAATTAGTTGAATTCTCTGGTTGTTGTAGGCATAGGAAGGGATGAAGGGAGCTACCACTAGGTTATCAGCTTGGCCACTGGTAAATAATTACTGCCCACCAATTCAAGGAAGACAGGAGGAGCTGCTGGTTCAGTTTTGTTTAGGCATCAGGAAGATGACAAATCTAAGTCAAAATGAGAGAAATCAACTCCACAGAATTTCTCTCCCCGTGACAACATGAGCTCTCCACATTACATACAGCTGACCTCTGAAATAAAGTGTCCTCCATGCTTTTTCAAAAATAGGGAGCACCTGTGCTGGAACTAGGTCTTCCTTTTGGCAGATTAGCCAGTACAAAGGCCAAGCCTGCCAAATACCCTGCCCAGAGGGAGCACAGCTGTTTTAACTGGGACTGGTGGAGCCTATGTTGTGGCCCAGTGGGTCAAGCAGCCAGTTGGGATGCCGGCATCCCAGATCAGAATGCTCACTGGAGTTCCAGATCCACTTGGGATCCAGTTCCTGCTAATATGTCTCGGAGGCTGTGGATGAGAGCCCAAGCGCACACGGGAGACTGGGATGGAAACCAGCTCTGCTGTCTCCACTCTACTCACTGCTCCTCCTCCTTCACCATCCTCCTGACTGCTAGCGGGGATTCACACCACCAAAGGCCTATGCGTAAACTGAGCAGACAAAAATTAGATATGTTAAGCTAAAAAAAAATCTAGTTTATTGCATATACTTAATTTTCATAAAATGCCTATTTTTCTTTGGCAAAACTTTTGCATGGTCTCAGATACCCCTTATTTTTCAAATTTCAGTTTCTAAACAGACCAAAAAACACTGAAAAATCCTTGAAGAAATAACAGATCCTCCATGCTTAAAAAAAGCAAACGCCACCAACAAGGCCTGCTTTGCCCAGTCTAGACCAATTACACCACGGTTCCCCGTTCCACCGTCAGAGAGGCCGGCCAGGGAACCTGCTCCTCTGGGGGCTCTGGGACCCGCAGCTCCCTCTCGGCCAATCGCTCGTCAGCCTGGAGGACGCGGAAGGCGCGGGAGATCTCGGTGCCTCCACCGCCTGCTTCCCCGTTCGCTGCTCGGGAGCCTGGGGCCGAAAATGCGGTCCTAACGGCTCCCAACACGCAGTCTAAGTCGGCTTGGGCAGAAACCGCGCCCCGATAATCGTACCGATTGTCACAGCGACGAAGAACTCAGAAACAACGGAACTATTTACATGCACTGTGCCACTTCCGTGGCACCTCTTGAAAAAAAAAAAAAAACCAACCAAATCGTCTGAAGTTTTGCCTAGCGCGCAGAAGTCACGAGGAAAATCTGCGAGGGATGCACTACGCTCCCCGAAGCCCTGGCCGGACCCGCGCGCCTCCGCCCAGCTCGCCGGCACTCGGCCCAGGTTCGCCTAGTTCCCAATACCCCGGCAGGTGCACACTCCGCTCCCGGGACTCGGGCCCCAGGACCCGGGTCCACGCTCGCTCACCGTCCTGCACCTCGGCCAGCGCGTTTTCAGCTTCCCGGACTCGGGCCTCAAATCCAGGTCTGCGCTCGCTCAGGTACCCGGTCCCGGACCCCAGCCCAACCTCCCGGGACTGCAGACCCGCACCCTGGATGCACTTACCCAGCCTCCGCCCGCGGCCTGCGCTCCGGCGCGCTTCTCCGGCATGACTCCTGCCTCGGGCTCCGACGCCGTTTTCCGTTCCGGCTCCCGCGGCGGCCCCGCGCTCATTCCGCGGCCATGCCCGAGCCGGCTCGGGGCGCTCCGGGTCGACAGCAACGCCGCGGGGGCGGCGGCGGGGCCCGTGCCTTCATGGGCTCCGCGGCCCCCGGCGGCCTGCGGGTAGGGCGGCGGCGCCAGCGGCGACGCCGAGGGCTGAGAGGGCGATGAGGCTGGAGCCCCGAAGATGCAGAGGGCAGGCCCGCAACTGGGCCAGCCGCCCAGACCCTCAACTCTCCCGCCGCCGGCTGAGTCGGTGGCGGTCAGGTGGTCAGAAGGCCGAATACTGCCCGCTCCTGCTCCCCACAGGCCGGCGGTCCAGGAACCCGCCTAGCACTCAGCTTCCACTCCGGCCCCGGCCAGCCGCCCAACTAGCCTACGGCAACGACCCGCCCACCTCAGGCCCCGCCTACCCCTCGACTCTACTGCCGCGGCGATAGGAAGGCCCGGCGCGCCGGAAGTACGTCATCTCTCGGGGCCCCAAGTTTAGTTCCTTTTTCCTGAGACGCAGCGGGGGAAGGGGGCGTGGAAAGGGAAGGGAAAGGGGGCGGTGGGGGGAAAGGAAAAGGAAACTGAAAGGGAAAGGGGGCGGGGCGGGGACCATCTGTTAATGACAAAGGTCTGGCGCCAACCCACCGAGTGACTGCGTTTTAATGCCGTGTGTGTAGAGCATGTATTGACTTAAAACCATTGGTAAAAGTGGCTAAGCAACTTTTGGTAAAAGTGGCCAACTAGTCAAGACAACCACCCAGCTAGCTACCAAGCAACCAGAACTGATAATGGAGAGCAGGTGCACAGATGAGTGAATGAGCACTCAGTGAGCCACAATGACAGAACACAGGATGAGATTTCTTGTTACTCAGGACTGTCTGAGATTGCCAGAACTCGGTAGGCACAGAAAACTCCTGTGTCGGTGGAAATGAACTGAGACCTATTTGGATGACCAAGTTGAGCCTTGGGAACTCTCCCGTGGGGAGATCCAACTAGGATGCTCTTGGGGTGCCTCTTTAGTCCCATTGACTTTCAGGAAGAGATTGAAGTAAATGCTTAACTAACAAGGTGCTCACTACACTACAGCAGCAAAATAGGAGGTGGAGATGGGCGCATCCTGATTTACAGCCCGACTCTGGAGTACTGACTGGGGAAATGGGATATGCTCTGTAACTCTATGTTCTGCTCCACTGCAAAATATAAAGAGAGAGCGACAAACAGCTTACCTAGACGATGGAAATAGCTCAGTTTTAAAAACATAGGTGTGGTTCCAGAGCCTCTTGTTGGTAGCACAAGTGTGAATATGACATTCATCTGTGAAATGAGGACAATCTACTTTGGGTAAGGTGATGACATATGGAAATCCTGGCACCATAAATGTTATTACTGGCCCAAAAGGACCTGGTGAGATACCACATCCCATTAAGTCTGATCAGTCCACAGTTGATTTCCGTGTTCTGATGTTACAAATAGGTCATGCATGTCGCTCCCCCTCTTCGTGGAGGAGCAACACTGAACCCTGCCTAGGCTTCATATCCGAGTCACGGCACCATTATGTCGCTCCCCGTCTTCGTGGAGGAACGACACAGGACCCTGCGCTGTTCTTTTGTCTGCTCGGCCCTCCCCGGGTTTGCTGCTGGTTCTTCCCGGGTTGGCTACTATCCCTTCCACCTCCGTAGAAGGGCGGTTCCCCCTAGCCACTTTCCCCACTTCCGCGGGGGAGCAGCACACCGCCGGCCGGCTCTCTTGGGGGCTGCACGGGTGTTCCCTTAGATGTTCCTGGTGCATGCCGTCTCTCTCCTCCTTTATAGTCCTCTTCTGCCAATCCCAACTCGGCTGCCCACACGCCGAGTACGCTGCTCTCCAATCAGGAGCAAGTCCTACAGTTTATTGGTTGAACTGGAGGCAGCTGTGTAAAAGCTGTTTTCTTCTCTCCCAGCGCCATATTGTGGGAGAGCAGATGCACAGAATAAGTCTTAATTCCAGTAACTTAGTCTAGTCCGAATTGCTCCCCACAGATCCCCCTTTCTTTTTATTTTTTGGCGTTGATACGCGCCTGTCTTCGGTGTCCCGCGGCACACACTCTGCTCTACTTGCTAGAGTTGCCACAGGTTCTTACAAGTCCTATCAATCAGGCAAACCGAATCCGGGTCCTCTCTTCGCCATGTTGTGAGGAGGTTTTTAGGCGCTGATGCGTGCCTGTGTTCGGTGACCTGCGGCTCATACTTTGGTCGAGCCACCTGCTGGCGCTTACCGCCTTAATCAGGCAGACCGAATCCAAGCCTCCTAATTGCTGTATTGTGGGGAGGCCTTACTGATGTTAATTCGTGCCTGTCTTCGGTGACCTGCGGCGCATAAGCTGCTAGCCGCCCGCAGGTGCTCATCGCCTCACTTAATCAGGCAGACCGAATCCAAGCTCTCTCATTGCTGTGTTGTGGGGAGGCCTTTCTATTTCTCTATTTCTCTATCTCCGGGCATTCCTATTTCTCCCATTTTACTTCTGTCTGCCAACATTCCTATTTCTCTCATTTTACTTCTAAACTTCTGTTTCTCTTATCCCCGCGGCTTCCCGGCGGCGCTCGCCCCGAGGCTGCTTCTTGGCACCTCGCCCCGCGGCAGCTTCACGGCTCTGCGCGGCTTCCCGGCGCCTCGCCCCGCCGGCGGGTTCCCGGCTCTGCGCGCATGCTCCGCGGTCTCCACGCACTTCGCGCCCGCACCACGGCCTCGCGCCAGCCCCGCGTTCCCTATCTATTCACGCCCCGTGCTCTCTCTGCACGCGGCGGCTTCCGCGAATGTTTCCGCCACCACCGGCATTCAGTCCAAGTTCCCCGGACTAACCTGGCGAATTTCAACCTGGCGGCCCACGTCTCTGCCTCTGGTTCCAGATCTTCGCCTCTTGCTCCCCGGGGTGACTTGAAGAATTCCAAGGTGGCTTATATCTCCGCCTCGGCCTGCACTCGCGGCTTCATCCTCCCTAACATTTTTCTCTACCCGGTATGTTTCCTTAAGTTTTCTTCCAACAATATTCCTCTCATTTCTCCTGGCTACTCCCCACAGTCTGTATCCGAGTCCAAGCCTCCTCCAGGTTTCACTTTCGCTTTCAATCTCCTAGCTTCCCCGCCATAGTCCGCATCCGAGTCTAAGTTTCTTATAGGTTTCACTTTCACTTTCAACCTGCAGTCCGTATCTGAGTCTAAGTTTCTTCTTGCTTTCACTTTAAATCCTAACTTCTTTCCCACAGTCCATATCCGAGTCTCTGCCTAGGCTTTCAATAGCTTCTTCCGGCACCTAGGCTCTTTGCTAGTCTCTCTCTCCGGTAATTTCCCACTTCTTCCCGTTTCTTCTCTCCTAGGTTTTCTATCCGTCCTAGGTTTCCTATCCGAGTCACGGCACCATTATGTCGCTCCCCCTCTTCGTGGAGGAGCAACACTGAACCCTGCCTAGGCTTCATATCCGAGTCACGGCACCATTATGTCGCTCCCCCTCTTCGTGGAGGAACGACACTAAACCCTGCCTAGGCTTCATATCCGAGTCACGGCACCATTATGTCACTCCCCCTCTTCATGGAGGAACGACACAGGACTCTGCGCTGTTCTTTTGTCTGCTCGGCCCTCCCCGGGTTTGCTGCTGGTTCTTCCCGGGTTGGCTACTGTCCCTTCCACCTCCGTGGAAGGGCAGTTCCCCCTGGCCACATTCCCCACTTCCGCAGGGGAGCGGCACACCGCCGGCCGGTTCTCTCGGGGGCTGCACAGGTGTTCCCTTAGATGTTCCCCTTAGATGTTCCTGGTGCATGCCGTCTCTCTCCTCCTTTATAGTCCTCCTCCGCCAATCCCGACTCGGCTGCCCACACGCCGAGTACGCTGCTCTCCTCCAATCAGGAGCAAGTCCTACAGTTTATTGGCTGAACTGGAGGCAGCTGTGTAGAAGCTGTTTTCTCCTCTCCCAGCGCCATATTGTGGGAGAGCAGATGCATAGAATAAGTCTTAATTCCAGTAACTTAGTCTAGTCCGAGTTGCTCCCCACACATGCACTCATAGAATGGCAGATGCCCTAAACAGCACTCTGGCCTCAGAATCAGTCCTTAAGGCATTCGGATCCTGCTAAAAAGCCCATGAGAGTTTCTCAGGCATGGGAAGACAAGACACTGTGGCAAAAAAATGACCCAAATGAAAGATCTCTGTGAGTGAGATCCCAGCTGAAAGAAGGGGCCATCAAAGAAGGAGGTACCCTTCTCTGAAGGGAAGAGAGAACTTCCATTTTGATTATGAGCTTGTCTAAATAAGGTTGGAGTTTGTGAACTCAAGAGGCTTCCATAGCCTTGGCAGCTCATGACTAGAGCCTCAGGTGATTACTGAAGTCATAAATAAGAGTGTCAATTGTTAACAACAGGAATCACTGTGCACTTCCTCCCATGTAGGATCTCTGTCCTTAATGTGTCATACTATGCAAATTAATGGTAACACTAGTCTTCAAACAGTACTTTATACTTTGTGTTTCTGTGTGGGTGCAAACTGTTGAAATCTTTTTTTAGTATATACTAAGTTGATCTTCTGTATGTATATAAAGATAATGAAGATAATTAAAAATGAGTTGTAATGAAGAATGGGATGGCAGAGGGTGTAGGAGATGGGATGGGTTTTGGGTGGGAGGGAGGTTATGGGGGGAAAAACTGCTATAATCCAAAAGTTGTACTTTTGAAATTTATATTTATTAAATAAAAGAAAAAAACAAATAGGTCATACACAAGAATCCCTAAGATTTTTGTGTGCCCTGTTATAATGTGCCTGCCCAAGCCCAGCACTGACTTAGTCTTATACAGAGTTACAGCTCATTTCACATTCATTGTTCAGGCATGGCTTTCCAAAGTCCATTGATGCCCAACATTGGCACCTCCTGTAGCAACACAGAAGTCTTTTTTTTTTAGTTTAGATAATCTGCCCAGACTGCTGCTTTTTTTCCCCTAACATTGACCCTGATATTCTTTGTAAAAAAAAAATGGAAAATCAGAGTTACACAGAGAGATGAAGAAGAAAGCATTAGCAGGGAGCTGGATTGGAAGTGGAGCAGCCAAGACTCAAACTGGCACCCATATGGGATGCTGGCACTGCAGGCAGTGGCTTTACCCGCTACACCACTACGACAGCTCCTGGCTGCCTGTTATTGAAGTGACTTTACTGCTACTTGGCTTAGCTGAGGACGCTGTAGTCCACAATAGGGCACTGGCAGGATTGTAGAAGCCATGACCCTTGCACTGAGAGCAGGAAATTCCTACATCAGTATCTCAGGCAGGCTGTTCCCACCCTTTACTTAAATATAGCCAGAGAAGGTATCTTAAACAGTCCCATATGAGCAGTTGTCATTTTTTAAAAATCAAATCATTTTATTGGGGATCCTTTTGTTCCTCCTGTGCCAACCATGCTTTGTTCTGCCTTCCGTTCCTATACAAAAAAAAGTCTGATTCCACTTGCT